CAGAAAGGCGATTGGTCAAGGACTCAACTCCCTTGGCAATGGAAAAGGCACTCATCTTTTCCAAATCTTCCTTGTCGCCGGCAAGCAAATCGGTCTCGCGGAGGTGGGCGGAGTGATTGAATTTTTCATCCCAAAAAGATAAGGCCTTACCGTGATCGGTGCCACGATCCACTGGGTCCCAATTCTCCCCAAGGCACATGCTTATGGTCCTTTCAGCAGATTGTACTTCCGTGTCGCCTTTATCGCCCTCAACAGCTACAACTGTCTCTAAGTTCACCACCGAAATATGCTTCTCGGACTCTCGGCGACGTTTGTGGGACGTCTCAACCACATTCTTGACCAGGGGGGTCGGCCTGCCAGTCTCACCGACCTTCTCAGTAGCCGATTCCTCCACCCCGGCGACTTGGGAAGCCTTTTGCTGCTTCCATAGCTTGGCCAATTCCCGATTGCTCATGCTTGCCATTTTATCTACGAAACAATCAAATAAACATCATGTTGCAACAAAACATATAAATCACAAGGAAATGGAATAATGTAAGGGGTGATCGGCGAGGGACCGATTACCTATATATATTTTCAATTCATTGGGCCTATTTTCTAAGTCTAGGAGTTTGGCAGTGTTGAAGACTGTTTTCAATTCCTCAAGTTTCCTAACATCATCTTGATCCCTCTCAGGAACCTTCTTGGGACTTAGTCCACCAAAGGGATTTGTTCTCTCGTTCCAGTACAATGGATACCCTCTTAGTAAGTCCTCGTTGCCAGGCGTACAACAAACTCGGAAATATGATTTTTTGAAGTCCTTGTAGGATGACTGGAAAAGATTCAAAATTCCCCGACCTGATACCCCATGGACAGACACCCAACTACTACGTTTATTGGTGCGACTTTCAAAAAAATAAAAAAACTTTTCTACAGTCGGGATTACGCCGAGTCCCATACATCAAATTTCAAAAGCCCGTACAAACGCCCAACTGTTGGGATGCAGTTGAGTGGGTGCCACATTTAGTGCATTCAACACCCCCTTTTGGCACTCGGTAAGTGGCCACCTGACCTTGAGTTTAGAAATGAGGGTCGCATAGCAAAAGGTGAAATTTTCAGCAGAGTCTCCCCCAATACACACAGGCTCCCTATCTACGCACGGCTCACAAACAAGCATATTATCACCCCCACTACACACCACATGCTCCCTACAAAAACTATCCATCTCAGCCCAAGAATTCATTAAAGACGCACAACGAAGCACATCATCCCTACCCCACTTATATGCCCCCCCATAACTTACGACCGCCATGGCATAAACAAATTCAAACTCTAAGGGCAACTAAAGGTTCTCTGTGAACAAAAAAGGCCAAATAGGTTAGATAGGCGTACCTAAAGACACACAATAACCCTTTCTCACTCAACAAAAGCCACCAGAACGCTGAAGGCCGTCGTGGACCACCAGAGTATATCAATGGGCAAAGGCACACCGTTGAGAGAAAACGCCGAAGGAAGGAGGGGGAAAACAAAACCCTTTTGACCCCAAATAGGCCTATATTTATGGGCCGCGAGTGGCGTATGTGAAAAGCCACATCAAAACGCAACGTCTCGAGGGAAACGCAACATTAAAGCTGGGGCTTTGAGTGGAACGAGGCAACTTTTGACCACAGGGGGGGGCACTCACCCACTCAACCCAAACGTTTCAACCACGTGGCATGGCAATCATTCAATTCTCTGCAAAAAACGGCTGCGAATTAAATGCATGTCTCCTGCGTTAACACACAAGGGGTCGCGACGTACGATATACCCGAGTAGGGGAGACGTGAGGTCATACTAACATGGCTATTCGCGATTACCCGAAGCCCACACTTGTGGTCATCATAAATCTCAGTCGGAATCCGACCTGGATTCGAGCTCAGGACAATTAAAGCCCTTACGCCTTACAGGCTTAGGGCTGGAAGACAAGTGTATTGTGAGGTCGGTAGATTCCCGATCTAACCTCACATTCGGATAAAGCTCGATCAGAATCCGACCTGGATTCGAGCTCAGGACAATTAAACCCCTTACGCCTTACAGGCTCAAGGCTGGGAGGCAAGTGTACCGTGAGGTCGGTATATTCCTGATCTAACCTCACATTCGGGTATATCTCGGTCGGAATCCGACCTGGATTCGAGCTCAGGACAATTAAAGCCCTTACGCCTTACAGGCTTAGGGCTGGAAGGAAAGTGTACCGTCCCAGTCGGTTTCTGACCTGGATCCTTCTCATCCTACCAGCTGACTACCAGCCTGGCTGATTCACTCTCTTAGACTCACTCAGTATATATCCGACTGGGTAGGCGACGTCGGTCAGATGCCGACCTCACTCCAGCCGACTACCAGCCTGGCTGATTCACTCTCTCAGACTCACTCGGTATATATCCGACTGGGTAGGCGGCATCGGTCAGATGCCGACCTCACTCGCCTAAAAGAGTTTACTCGGCTATTATCCAATTAAACACTCAATAGGAGGCTATTCGGTCGATGGCTGATCCCACCTTCGCATGAAGGGGTTGTCTGATAGTAAGGACAAAGCCCCACTGTCTCTCACCAAATATTTTCCAAATTAGAACGGTTAAGGAAATCCCTATATTCTCGGGGCCCATGAAGCCCGTAAACAAGAAACTATAAAAATAAAAACCCTAGAGTTAAGAGAGCAGATTACACTTTTGAATGCTCTGACTCTAAGGCTTAACCTAGGAAGAAACCCTAGTCCACCTTTTGGCCAGAACATATATATATAATTTATTATAAATTTTAATTATATAATAAATATGTTTGTGCATTATATAAACTAAAACACTAGTTTAAATTATGTTTCTATTCATTTAAAGTAAAATGAAATATATTTTAAAAAATTTATAATTTAATAACTATATATTAATATTAATATTATTTTTTACTTACAAAATTTTTCGTCCATATAAAATAGAGGCTTTTGCTTTTAGCTTTTTAATCTATTTTTTTTTTCAATTTCTTTGTAAATTATTTTTGTTTATTTTTTTTTTCTTACCATCAAATTAGTCGTTAAATGTGACAAAGAAAAACAAAATTTAGAGATCAAAATTTAAGTGGATCAAAATAAAAGTAACTAAAATTTGAGAGGACTAAAATAAAAACTACTAAAACTTGAGGGACCAAAAAAAAAATAATTAAATATTTAGAAACTCCATTTATAAAATTTAAACCTTAATTTACATCGATAAAGAATAAAATTCTCAATTTTTAGTGATCAATTATTTGTTTTAAAGTTAAACTTTAAATACAAAACTTCATATAAAAGTCATGATGTAAATGGGTAGCAGCAAAAATTTAAAAAAAAAAAAGGTAAAAATTTGAGTGATTGTATCAACAATTAATAAAACATCAAATAGATGATATAATAATTCATATTTTAATAATACTTAAGTTAAATTTTACTTTTAATTCTTATTTTTATCTTATAAAAATAATAAAATTATATGAAAATAATAACTAAAAGTACAATCTAGTCTAAATAAGTAAATATTATTAAATGCTAGAACTTCTACTGAAAATCAATTTCTTGGGCCATAGAATTGAGAGAACCCAAAGATCCATTCTTGCAAGGCAGATGATAAACACACCTCCACTCTCATATAAACACACCCCCTTTTTAAAAAAAAATATATAAAATATCTAAATTATTCTTAAAAAAAAAATTCTAAAATTTACACCTCCCCTCCCTCCTATACCCCGCACCTCCCTTCCCCGACCCCTGTACCCCGCACCTCCCTTCCCCGCATCAGCGCGTGATAAGCAGAGGCGCGTGGGAAGGTAGCATAAAACAGTAAACACATTTCCAAATCCAAACTCCATTTTAAGTCTGACCTTCTTCCAACTCTTCCATTCCACTCCTTCTCTACTTCTCTTATCTCTCTTTCACTTTCCAATGCCTTAAACTCCCTTCATGGCCTTTCTCCGTCGACTCTTCGGCGCCAAAAAACACCGCAATCCGCCAAACCCCCACACCACCGCTCCCAAGCCCAAAAAAACTTGGCCCTTCTCTAAACACACCGCAACCCACAACCCCACCACCTCTTCTGCTCCCTTCACCCACTCTTTCAACGCCAACAAGCATGCCATCGCCGTCGCCGCCGCCACCGCAGCAGTCGCCGAGGCCGCTCTCGCTGTCGCACACGCCGCCGCCGAGGTCGTCAGGCTCACCACCGCCACCGCTGCTCTCGCTAGCCGCCCTGCCACGACGCCACAGGACCGGCGCTCGGCGGAGGAAACTTGCGCCGCCGTCAAGATTCAGTCCCTGAGTTGGGGTGTGGGGTGGAGGTGCGGGGTACAGGGGTGCGGGGAAGGGGGTGTAAATTTTGAAATTTCATTTTTTTTAAGGGTAATTTAGATATTTTGTGTATATTTTTTAAAAAAGGGGTGTGTTTATACGAGAGTGGAGGTGTGTTTATCATCTGCCTTCTTGCAGTGTTTTGGAGTTGCTTTAACAGTTTAACGTTTTCAAGTATTTGAATCCGCACTATTAAGCTTTATCCAAAAGTAAAAGCCCAAAAGTTTTGTTAAGATCAGGAGTGAGGTTAATTGATACAGTTAAGAATAGAAGCAGTTAGGTTCCAAAGGGAGATGAAAATTCTGTAGCCATTGTCACAATAAACGAGGTTCCACTCTCGTTGAATTCCCCTTTTCATCCTTCAAACTTGCCCAATCTCAAGTTCTTATTGGACCCCTGACTCTTGTTGATATCAGGGCACACTATAAAATTCAGAACTTTCGGAAATTAATCATCAGTTCATGAGTTATGAACAAGCAACATTAGCAATGCTCTACCACCCAACATTATGCTGGGGTCACATTCCTATTTTGTTGTTTCAGTAATTAACAAGGCATGGTTCTCTAAAATCCCATACTGGTTCGATTTCATAAGGAATGTTCATAGCAGGTCGTCTTTTTTTGCTCTGCTCATCTCATAAAATCGTGAAAAATTGACAAAAGAAAACTATATCCACCAACTAACTCATCCATAATTGCTACAAAATATCATGATAACAATAAATTTAAATATCTTTAACAGGAATCAACATATTAACACCTTATCAATAAAATAATCAATAGAATCTAGTTACTGAATAACAAATACGAGCTAACGTTCTATCATGGATGTTAAAACATACCATGAAATCACTCTAATGATATCCAGTGTTGCAATGTGGTAGCAATCCCCATTTCAGTTTGAAAAAGATTGCTTGAATCGCAATTAGAGAATAGAACATTGTATAAGATGATTCTTGATTCCTATTGGTAGTTGTATGCAACAGTCAGCAGGTGAAATAGTCAGAAAACTATAGCATCACAGGTTGCACGAATCTAATGATTCTAATCCTTGCCCTGTAAATGCACCAAATCAGGTTACGTCATTGCTAGATGCTAGGAGAACATGTTCTCTTACATCAACCTCGGGAAAAGTCACTTTTCAACATAATATGAACTATGCATAAGGTTCAGGTGTTCATCCTCAATGCCCTTCATTAAGTCCTCACCAATATACCATGTCAAGGACCCTGCATCAAATTGCAATTCAAAGTGATCATCATCGGATCAGGTTTACTCCCTATAAAGACATACTTGAGACTGAATCTAAGGATAATTGATAATTACAGGAAATAAGAGAAGAGGGACATTTGATAGTCATTAGGTAGTAAATAGAAGCTACAATCTTTAATCCATAATTCAAGGGATTTGGGCCTGGACATCTAAAACTAACAGGAATGCACACATTTTAAACAACAAACAAATTGATAATAGGTAAGTGGGCATGCGCAATTGTTGGAAAGTAACATGTAGTTTTTACCTTGCATGTTAGATTTTTCGTGTTCTCTTGTCACATGCAATAAGATTGTTCCCGAAAGAACAATGACAAATCCACATATCTCAGAGGCTATGCTGCTCGCACTCTGACCAGACCAATCCTGCACAGAAGATTAAAGCAATTAAAAAGCCTAGCTTGTCCTATTTTTTCAGCTAGAAGAAGACCTTCGATATGGCGCGAAAGGAATCCAAGAATGTGCCATGATACCTTAAACATTATCACACTCGCAATAATAGTCAAAGTTGTGAACATGACATAATACACGGGAGAGACAATTGCTGTGTTGAATGTATCCAGCGCCTGAAAAATAGTTCCATAATGCATAAATGCTCAAGATTAGCTAAAAGATCAAGGAAACTAAGATAGGACTCAGAAGATTGATAAGCAATGTAAAATTATATTAGGGCAGTAAAAAAAGAATTCTGTAGCCTGTTTGTAACTTGGTATTGAAATAATAAAAATAAAACTATGGATCATAGACACGCTAAAAGACCAATAGAGCACCATTAAAAAGATTTTATTGCATATTTCTATCATATGTACTATTTTCAATGGGCTGTATATTTAAGTTTGCCTCAAATGCAAAAACAGAAGAAACTCAACTTTTTCATGCACAAAAATATTAAGATTCATAAAGATTGATCTGATGCCAACTACATTAATACTTTGTTATCAAGCACAATGCAATTCTCACCAGTAATCTTGAATAGCCTCTTATAGTTATCTAAGGTTTGGACGAGAAAGGTTTCTGACTAGCATCCAGAACATTACAGTGTAGACAATTCTAATTGAGTGAATGGTTTTCCCTTTAGAAGCACAGCTTTGAAGGACTAACGGCGTAAGGCCTTTGATATAGATGTGGACTGTTATTATTAACAATTGTGAGTAAAGAAGTTCCAACTTATAGAGTTTATGAAGGAGTACAACTGGCAAGTTAGCTTGCGGAACTTTGATTTTGGCAATAGAAGACCTCCTAAGAGCTAGGAGCATAATTTTCATGACTAATTTAAAATTATTCAGGGTTATATTGATGTCTAACTTGAAACATTGATGCATCCCATGAGGCTGGTTTGTTACGGAAGGAAAGTGTGAACATGCAATTTCCCATTCAATTGTGTCTAGTGTATAAGGATCAAGAAAGGATTGTAATTTCCATGTACTGATGTTGGAAGCACAATGAATGCTAAGACATGATTCTATTGCCCTGTATACTTTAGCTATAATAACTCCTTAAATTGCACTACCGAACCTCTTCAGAAAAGATTTTAAAAAGATGATGGGGCATCTACTTATCATATATGGCATGCACATGGCTAAACGTCAATCAACACAAGCAGTGCTGAATAAAGAGAGCTAACATCAATTTGTTTGCAGAAGGTAACCAACTTGCGGAGTGATTCAACAAATATAGAAAAAAGGTGACCTTCAGTACACTGATTATCAATAATTTATGGTCTTAATTATGGGTTGCATCAGACTAAATTTGATAACTATGCACTGACCTTGTTCAGGTAATTCAACTGTGCAACGATACATATGACAGCCACGGTAAGAAAAAACCAAGTTTGAGGATAAGTTATTTGACTTATTCCCTCTAATGTGAGCTTGATTGCAATCCCTATGGCTTTTGTGCTCATTACCTGAATAGTTTAGTTTAGTATATAGTTAGTTTGTGCATTACAATACCCATCAAAGTGATTGGTGAAAACATAAGTACCGTAAGTGAGCCCATTAATGAACAAATTCCCAAGTAGACAAGCATATTTTTCTGTCCATAGCGAGGTTCAAAATGCAAAATCAAGGCTAAAACTACCGAAACTGTTGCTGCCACATAAACTAGAAATACTGTTGAAACAAAAAAGAGATCATGAGAAACACCACTTCATAGACCGGAAATGAATTAAAAATAAACAAAACAGGGTGAAAACAGACATGGTTGAGTGGCGAGATCCCAAATTTCTTGCACAGAAGTCAAAGTATGCTCTTGAGGTGCATGGATGACAATGAGAACTGAGCCCACAATGCAGAACACACATCCCAAAATCCCCATCTTCTGAAGCTTCTCCTTGAGCAAGAAGTGCGCCAAAACAGCACTATCCCGATCGATAAACATGGAACAAGTAAGTGTTAACAGAAAGTCACAAGAACTTTGTTGAAAGTAATTAAAGGTACCTGACAATAATACTAAGTGCACCGAGGGGAGTAACGAGAAGCGCAGGAGCGTATATATAAGCGACAAAATTGGCAACCTCTCCAATAAACACTGTGAGTGTGAGGAATTAGAATATGAGAAAAGTGAAAGCATGGAAATAAGAAGAGAAAGTTAGTTACTTTACTTGTAACCATGCCAGCCCACCAGAGTGGCTGTAGCAGATAAGAATGGCCGCCAACACCAGCGCGAGTGCCGTGAGTAGCAGCTTGCTTCAGACCTTTCTTTTTGAGGATGAAGCTTGCTCCTATGAAGGCACCCGAAGCCACCGCAAGAACCAAACCCTTTGTGTTCTCTGCAATCCCCATTGTCTCTAACACTATGCAATCTCAACACAAACACTCTATTTTTATGATTCCCTCTGCGGAAGCTTCCTTTCGCCAGCGACAGAGATTCATGCTGCAACCTGTCACCTCACTTCTCTATTTCTTCACTTACGTTACGTACCGTTAATATTCAACTTTTTATTCTCTAAAATATCCGTTGATTCTCGCAATATCCGTTCACTCACGATATTAAATATTTTGAATTACTTCAAAAGTAAATATTTAGTATGTTATTTTTATAACAAAAATTATTTTTTACTTTTTATCTTGTAATCACTGGAATATAATAAACTATTCTTTTTATGATAAAAGTTGCTAACAAATTCGAATTAGACAAATATCTAGTGCGATATTTACATACTAATTAGTAATTACTAATATTTTGGGATGTAATAATTGTTTATTTATTTATATAATTAAATTTAAATTTGAACCCTCCTTTATATATATATATCCCTCTCTTATATATATATATATATATATATATATATATATATATTAGATTTATAATAAAAAATTAATTTTCATGACATAAAAAATGATGCAATTTTACTTTAAATATATCTGTATGATAAATGTAAGTGCCTCTTGACTCTTTATTTAGTATATTTAGATGAGTTTTTTAACTTAGAAAATTATTTATACTATTTTATAACATTTATTTAGTTTGTTTTAATAAGGTACATTATAAAGCTTTACTGATCTTGTTAACAATTTTATATTAATTTTCTATTTGAGATTGTGCTTATTAATTTATTCAGTGTTATTTACAGTGGAGAGTAGACTAATGTTAATATTCATTAACCGGAACCAACATAAATGGCTTAAAATTTTTCAATCCTTGTAACAATCCTACCAGTGGTCTGAATCTATTAGTGCATCATTTTATGAACTTTAAAATTTTAAAGTGATTGACAATGGCATGAGCTGAAATGCACGATAATATTCATAGCTATATCACATAGGTCTCAAGGTCGATAATATATCAGTTTTTGAGTGTCAAGTGCTTGAAGATTCATTATTAGTATTTAGTTATCGATATTGGAACAGTTACGATGTATTGTCCAAAATTATTCGGCTAAAGTTGCACCTTTGTTATTATTATGAAAAATAATACTGGACGATTACAAAATAATAATAATAAATTATTAAATATGCCGAATAATGAGACCCTCAATGATAACATTTATTTATATATAAATATATTTGCATTGGACCATCATAATAAGCTACATAATCATATATTGTATACTAAATTATTTTGAACACTTATTAACTTGGACATTAAAGTTTCATTTAATTATAGTGACAAACCACTCTACTTTGGGGAGCCGAGGAAGAGAGAACTGAAGACATCCGGTTGAAAACTTCTTGCAGGCATTTCCCAGCATGAACAAAGAACAATAGCCATATATACTCCTAAAATGTATCCAAGCACAGCAATGTTCCAAAAGGATAAGAAAAGGAAAAAAAGTAAAGTACGTGGTGGGAGTTTGGTTTAACGTTGTGAAACAGTAGATCCAGATATAATAATTTTTTTTTTCAATTGATTTCACGTGATAAATCAAATAACATATGGTCACGATGTTAATCGATGGGTTAAATTTTTCGAAGCTCACAGAGAGTCGTTCACGTCACTCACTCGTAATCCCAACGACACGCTGATACTCAAGTGAATTAATAATTAACAAGTTAGTTTCATGTTTGGGGTATAGCAATACAGACATAAAAAACATACATTATGTGACACTTGATATTATTATAATTTTAAAGGAAACCTCCTCATTTGACGTCTTCTTTTTAAGTTCATGAACACTAAGTACTGCTAAAGCCTTAAAGATAGCTAGCTATATACCCAGACCCAGAAACGCTTGATTTACAACCCAGCCCAAATCTCTGAGATGTGGAAAAATATATAACTCCAACTCTGGCCCAAATGTTGACCCAAAAAGTTAAGCCCCAAAAGTTAAATAAAAAGTAAGGAAAGGAGATAAAGTAAGTGGAACTCAATTAAGGTAGGCCAAATTTAAATTTGACTCGACTAAAATAAGTTTAACTCTTTAAAAACTGAGTACCACATTTTAATAAAGTTACCCTTTAAAACAATATAATAAATAAAAAGGATAATGATAAGCTTGTAATCTAATTATTGTCATAATTTAAATTATTTAACTGATAAAGTAATTAATTTATATTTTTAATGATAATAAAAATAAATTATAAAGTAAATTATATATATATATATATATACTTGAATTAAAAAAATACAATAGAGTGGTTATGGTCATGACTCATAAGAGAACGGAAAGCTACATTCTCGAACCCAATTTTTGAAGTAGGAGAAAATTCAAACACAAATCTAACCAAAGTCAGGTTGAGATTGAATGGGTACTCCCAATAACGTTTGGATCCTTATATGTTTTATATACTTAAAATAACATTGACAATTTAGATAACAAATATTAATAATAACAGTTTTATTAAATATACGATAACATGTGGTTCTTTTATTTATATATGACAAGTGTACTAATTTGACCTAATGGTAAATTTGAATAATTATGTTTACTTTCACCTTTGATAAATATTTTATTATTAAAAATAATAAATAATTATTATAATGTAATAACAATAAATATAATTATTATAAAAATAAATCAGCATATCATACTATATATATATATTATCAATATTAGTATAAAATAAATTATAAAATATTAAATAATATATATATATATATATATATATATATATATATATATATATATATGTGTGTGTGTGTGTGTGTATTGCATAAATTAACGATAAAAGTTATATAATGCGTTAGAATTGTAGTCATAAACTAGGGATGACAAAAATACCCGCACCTACGGGTAAAATTCGCTACGGATAATAAATAGATAGGCTAATTGGATACTAGCGAATAATGGAGACGAATAATTTTTTACCCGTTTATAAATGGGGCGGGGGCGGGTATGATGATATACATATCCGCGGATACCCATTTAATAATATTTCTTAAATATCCTAATTATTCTTGTACCACACAACTCTAAAATTACACTCTCTCGTCTTATTTTCTTACAAAAGTGAGGTTGATGAAGTTACCAACATTTGTTAAGCATGTTATAGAATTATGTTGGATATAATTTGATTAATTTTTTAACTTTGATTGGACCAATAAAATTTATATATTTTAAGTTGTTTACTTTCGTTTGAAATTATGATATTGAATTATTGTAACTTTGTGATGAGACTTTAACTTACTTGTGAGATTGATTATGTATTTTTTATCTTATATTTTTATTATTATTTCAACAAAATTAACGTTAAATACAAGTTCAAAATTAACATTAAATTTTTATTTTTAATATTTCAATAATATTAAATATAGACTTAAAATTATTTGTAATATAATTTTTTTAATTTCTTAAAAAATTTATAAATATCTATGAATATCCGTGAGTATTCAAGAAATTTATAGATACTCACTCAATAAATACCCGTACGAATATAGGGTCATGAGTATGAAAACAATTTTCATATAGCAAGACGAGAGCGGCATGCGGCCCATTACCATCCGTATCATAAACTTATGATATAATTAAGTGTGATGAGAGAGATTGTAAAACTCTAATTTTGTGGTTTTCGCTAATCCACATTAAGGGTGAGATTCCCTATGTTAAGCGCGATCCTCTCAAAAAAGCATGTATTAACAATTAATTAACCCTAATTTTATTAAAGTAGCATGAGTTTTATGATAACAAGAGTCGAGCATAGAAATCCGAAAGTAAATGAGAAAAAGAAAGATCTCAACACGAAGGATTGAGATTTGAGAGCAACATGAGTGAAAAAAAAAGCAGATGAAAAGGAGAAAGTCTAAGAGAGTTGTCCACAGTCAGCAACAACGACGGGCTTGGAGGTCTTGCCGGAGCTGGAACCCACCTTCTCGACATCCTTGACGACGTCAAGACCCTCGACCACCTTGCCGAACACCACGTGCTTGCCGTCCAGCCACTCCGTCTTGGCGGTGCAAATGAAGAACTGAGATCCATTGGTTCCTGGTCCTGCGTTTGCCATCGAAAGAATGCCGGGCCCTGTGTGCTTCATGATGAAGTTCTCGTCGGCGAACTTCGACCCGTAGATGGACTCGCCGCCGGTGCCGTTCCCCGCGGTGAAGTCCCCGCCTTGGCACATGAAGTTGGGGATCACGCGGTGGAATGTGGAGCCCTTGTAGTGGAGGGGCTTCCCGCTCCGCCCCACGCCCTTCTCGCCGGTGCAAAGCGCTCGAAAGTTCTCAGCGGTTCGTGGAGTTGTGTCGGCGAACAACTCCATCACTATGCGCCCCGCTGGTTGGCCTCCGATGGTCATGTCGAAGAAGACCTTAGGGTTCATTGTTGCAAAGAAAACTCCTGAGTTTTACTGGATTGTTAAGGAAGACTCACTGTATAAATAGTGCAATGTTGGTTCCATTGGGACACGTGGCGCATTCTGAGAAGCGTAAGTCATTACTGTTATTTTTAGAATTGACTACGATTCGTGAGGGCAGATTGGATCCAATTCCAAAAATAATGCATTACAAAATGCTTTCTTTTTTTAAAAGCTAAATAATAGAATAAAATATTTACATGCTAAATACTTTAAACTATAAAATTCATTATATTTGGTACATTCTTTATGCACAGTCACAATATCTTTATTTATTTAATAATATAATATATTGATATAGTTGATCACCTATGAGTTTTAGAAGTTTGATATATATAAATTGTTCTTACCGAAAATCTGCTGTAGAGCTGATCCGC